ACGGAGTTTCGTTCTTCTTACCCAGGCTGGAGTGCAATGGCGCGATCTCGGCTCACCGCAACTTCCGTCTCCTGGGTTCGAGCAATTCTCCTGCCTCAGCCTCCCGAGTAGCTGGGACTACAGGCGTGCGCCACCATGCCCAGCTAATTTTTGTATTTTTAGTAGAGACGGGGTTTCACCATGTTGGTCAAGTTGGTGTTGAACTCCTGACCTCGTGATCTGCCCACCTTGGCCTCCCAAAGTGTTGGGATTACAGGCGTGAGGTACTGTGCCCACCAGTGGTCCCTTTAAAGTACAGTTCTAGAAGATATTCCCGTTAGAATACAGTGTTTGATTTGGCTGGAGAAACCCAGCTGTGCCTTGCTAGTGAAAATTAGGCAATTAAACTTGTCTCCCTTTTCATTGTGGCTGGCAGTTAAACTGGCCACATTTAAAGGCGATTATTACAGCTATGTAAAGTCCTTTACTGACAAAATATGTTCTTTCCTTTGAATTTTTATTAATGTTTTCGCTGGTCCTAACTATTATTTTACTGTTATTTTCATTTATTAAATAAAAATTCTTTGTGAAAGAAAGCAGGATATCAAGCAGGAAATAAATGAAAATGATCTTTTGGTGACTAGATTTTAAGTACATTTTAATGTCCTGAAATACACTGTGCGTTTATAAAACAAATCCGAAATAATTTACCTGAAGTTTGGAAAAGCAGTACTCCTGGAAAGAATCAGTGCTCTTTTACATACTGAGGAGGCCAAGTCCTGAATATCTGCTGCTAATTTGCTTGGCACAACTTTTATTCAGAGATAGTGCAGAGATAAGCATCAGCTTATCACACCAAATTAAGGACATCCAATGAACAAGATTTGACTGTCATTTGGGGCAGTAGAGAAAGAATCCCTGCTGCACAATGAAGGGCTGTTCTTAAGGAGGGGGAAATAATCCTCTGGAACAGCTGAGATCAGAGAAGCTGGAAATTAATATTATTGTTTAGCACAGACTTTTTTTATTTTCTGCCGATCCTTTGGAGTGTTCCCTCACTTCTGGAGAAGGTCTTTCTGTTGTGTTCTTAAAAAGAATACAGTGCAGTCTTTTTACTGCCTTTTTCCTTTTGTGGACCAACTTGTGATCAGATTTTCAACAAATGAGGTGCCATTAGAAGGATAAAATATCAGTGGTTTTGTACTGCTCTGCTAAATCTTGAACTGCTGAATTATTCAACAGTTTGATAGAATAAAGAAAACCATTTGAATTATTTATGTTTCAACAGAAGTAGTCCCCAACTTAGTACAAAAGGGGTACCCTCTTTCTCAGGGAAGACCAGACCATCTGTAATTCAAGGTACAGTTGAAGTCCTAACTTCTTTAATGCAGGAGCTACAAAACAGTGGAAAGACTGATTCGGAACTTTGGAAAAACTGTGAGGTATCTAATTTTGTTTTATTTTTGGAATTTTAAGATAGTTATATTAAAACATACCTCTACTAAACTCCAAATTCTTAGAAATTTATGTCCTGAAGAGCATACACTTTAAGTTAATGCTAAAGTGGTAAAGTAGATTAATTTGGGAATTATATTGAATGAATGGGAAAAAGGTGATCAAAAGTATTTTTTTTTTTTTTTTTTGGGGACGGAGTTTTGCT